AATTATTGTTTTATGGTTGTTCAAGGCTACCAATATCATAAGGTATGTGTAATCAGAACTTAGATAATGATAAATTCCTTATAGACTACCCTTTTACAAAATTACATAACTAAAGGACATTTGATTGGTTCAAGTGATAACCTTATCTAGTAGATATACTTCAACTGGTTTTCATCATTATGTGGTTTGCTAAATCAATTATCATCATTATTGGCAGATTCTGTAGGGGGTGGTTGGGTTGAGGGGTATGCCCTCAACACCCTCTGAAAATATCAAACGAAAAGTTGTTCTGTTAACATGATCAAAATTTTTTTTTAATATTTTGCACTATTCAAGCCACCATCCTTAGACCATGGATCAACTCTAGAACATTTCAAGTACGATAGGCAAACTCGAAAACACCAACCCCCATATCATATATACCAGGTATTTAACAAGTCCCCATCTTGATAAATGGACTCTCCTTATCATTATTATCAAACTCATATAAGATTTTGATACGGTAGTGAAAACAACCAAACAAGTTTGAAGAGTATATGATAATTTTATTTGCACATAGAGCTAACAATGTACCAGTTAGCTATATTTAAAATTTTCTGACTTGTATTTACTTTAAAATCTTTGACAACATATTTCCTAGGTTATTTATGTGTAAAATGTGGGTCAAAGTGACCAAACTTTTGATATGACCTTTACATTTATCCCAAATGTGTAACCAAAAACTCATCTGTCTTATACATTTTTCATATGATTCTGATTTTGACTTTTTCAAGTGGGCCAAGGAAAGCATGAAATGCCCATACATATACTTAGTAATTCTTAATCAAAAGGCATTTAATTAGAAGTTTTGTAAAATAGCACTGTAAAAAACTTGCATGAAGATAACCTAAGGAATATAAATATTGCCTTATAAACATGTTTTCCCCTGTATATAATAACTATAATATTCAATCATGTGCAAAACATTAAAAGTAAGGACTTCTTTTGAGGCCATTTTAGAGTTTTGCATCTGAACACCAAGGGTATTTAACCAGTTTTCTTTGTTGAAGTAAACCATTTCATTAAGGTAGCTGGTGGGTCTTAATTCAAATCCATAGAATTTTTATTATAATTTTTCAAAATGTAGTTAATATCATGCTTTTATCAAAAATATAATAAAAAGGATGGGTCCCCATGCTTTTTATCACGCTACGGGTTGAGCAAAATTGTCAGATTTTGTATAGATAATGAATGGAAAACCCAAATTTGGGTGATAAAAAGAAAACTACACCATAGAATTTTAAGATAAAATATGAGAATATAGCTCTAATAACATGCTTTCAGATAAGGAAAATAAATAATGGGGTCACGGTACTCATTTTCTTGCTTCATAATAAAATAGGTAAATTCACAACATATTCTATTATAAAAGTTAATTTATCAAGTTATCTCCCCTTATATCTGAGTTATCTACCCTTAAATGGCAAAATTTCACAAAAAATGAATAAAACAAAAATAATCTCATTGTTGTAAAATACAGACGTAAATATGATAAAACATATAATTTTCTATATTAACATAAACAGTTTTACACATGAGTTACATACTACTCCCGAAATTTGCACATTTCATTAAAGATCATCAAAATCCAAGATGGAGGAAGACACCTGAGCTACCTTAATAGTTAATAACATGCATTTACAAGGACTCCATTTTTTTAATTACACACAATTTCAAGTTAGATTTGTCTTCATCATTTTGAGAAACTGTAATGTCCTCTTTACACATTTTTCTATCCTTTTGAGACAGCCTAGAGAAAAAACCAGAAATCTGGGAGCCAGTTAGATATTCAGATTTCTTAAATCTCCTCTCTCCATTTTTTATTTCCACCATCATTAACTAAGCTGCTTCAAAAGGATCAACCTTTCTGCCAGTGTGTTTGCCTAAATCAAACTGTTCTTGCATGAACTGTTTTTGCTCAACAGTAAAATTTGTTTTCTTTTTCTTCAGTTTTAGAGCCCAACCAATTTTTGCTGTGTTTGCCTTTGCAGATGTAGTTGAACATGAAATATTAACACTTTTTGGAAACAGTTTATCCAATTTAACACTGTACTCTGATTTTAATCGGTCTATCAATGACTGCTTTTCTAATTGATAGTTTCAATTTCCTAATAAAATATGTTGTTCCAGACTGCTATTATTTTTGAAAGACCTGTCACAACCCTCTTTAGGACAACTGTAAATATTTTCTTCAGATTTTGCTTTCTTTGCTGGTGGCTCACACTCTTCCACTTCTTCTTCTTCTGTCATATCATCTGAAATGTAATTATGAAATGTTCAACATATGAGACAATATAAATATAGAATGTACATGCCAAATTTTAGAGAAGTTGATTGCAGAGAAAATTTTAAAAGCTTCATAATAACGTAGGCAAAAGTAGTCCAAGCTGAGACAATCTGTGTTATACAATGTATGATATGAGTAATTTATGCAGGTTTTATCTTGGAAAAATGCATTAAGTAAATTATTTAACAAAATTCATTCAATATAAAAATCAGGAGACGTGATTTGATTTCGAATGAGACAAAACTTTTTTTAGTGACCAAAGTATGATGATGAAAGCATCTATAGGGCCACCATATAGCCTTAAACAATGAAAAAAAACATACTGTATAGTAAAGCACTGACTGATATGACAAAATGTTAAACAATTTAAAGAAAGATAAGATCAGCATGTACAATTTATGTTGAAATAGAATACTATCTAGTATATAAAAAAAAATTGTTTAGCCATATAATTCATTTGTATTTCTCAGATACATTAAAAAGTAAATGTCCTTTCTGTTGTTTATGTTGCTATCTCACTGATGTACAACTCGTATATATATTTATATTGGATCACAGGTTTCGACAAAATTCACTCAAGCATATATTAGTTGTGGATACACTGCTCTTGTTGAATGTTACAGTGAATCAACATATTAGATTATATACATGTAAAAGGCATGACCAAAAACATAGACAATTTTTTTCAAAACAAGAATAATGTTACCAAATCTATTTTTTTTCCATTTATATACTTTGTTACAATTTTTATGTACACACATTATCCTATCTGATGAAAAAACATTGCAAGATTTTTCCAACCAATTTTGAACTGTTTTCAACTGGGAAACATGCATATCTTGACAGATATCTGTCCATGGAATTAATTTCCCTGAAATAAAGGTTAAACAAAAGTACATTCATATGGTCATATAATTTTCTATATTCAAAACCACAATTTAATTCATCTTTTACGATAATTTTATCATGAATTTGACATTATAAAAACAAGTGAGGACACACAATAATGTCACAAATATGTTTCAGCTACAAATACTTTAAATTTTTTAGCTAGATAAAAAGTGAAACATTTCAAAAAGATGAATAAGAACATCAGATTTTGTTTGATGTTCCCTATCATAAAGGCTCTTTTTCCATACTTTTCTTTACTTTTTTTGACCTACAAAAACTAAATGAATTCTAACCAAACATTATTAAATTTATGTAATTATTGATGATTCCTATATAAGGGTTGTTTTCAATTTCCTCAATGTGGGATTGGGGAGATGGAGAAACTGTTTTTCTTGAAGGCTGTTTCAGAATTTATGCATTTAAGAGGATTTGAGGCACTTCCTTTAAAACCCTTTCCACCCATAACTATATAAAAAAAACATTTATGTGAGTGGCTCCCATCCTCTAATACGATTTATTTTGGATTATCATTTAATGTATTTTACCTGTTCCTATTCCATATGGCAGATTCCATATAAGAAAGTGAAACAACTCCCATAAGCACGTTAGGCAAAAATCATAAGCAATGAACTTCTGTTTTTGAATACATGCTTTACTAATAAAGATAAAGACAATTTGACAAAAAAAAAAAATTATGAGCATCATCCTTTTTAAATAAACGAAGCCTTAAATATTATGTTTCTGACATAAGATTTGACAGACTTTATTGTTTCTGACATAAGATTTGACAGACTTTATTGTTTCTGACATAAGATTTGACAGACTTTATTTTTTCTGACATAAGATTTGACAGACTTTATTATTTCTGACATAAGATTTGACAGACTTTATTTTTTCTGACATAAGATTTGACAGACTTTATTATTTCTGACATAAGATTTGACAGACAAATTGAGTTTCTGACATAAGATTTTGACAGACTTGGTTCTGACATAAGATTTTTCATACATAAGATATTTTGACAGACAATATATATTTGTTTTTTTTGACTGACATTGGAAATCAAATCCTAGTTGAAATTCATTTTTAAAACTCCTGGAAAATACTGCAGCCTAACATTTAACAAGATTTCACTACAGGTCAAAGAACTTTAACTGTTAGCACATTCAAATGTTTCAGACATAAGAAAACAAGTTTGACAGATCTTATGTAGGAAACATATAAGTTAAAACTATTGCTTGAGTAAAGTTAAATGAAAGAATCAACATGTGTTTTTTCTTTTGCACAGCATGACTTACAGTTTTAACTGGCATATATTGGAACCTACAATGATTTTGAAAGTTTTTACAGCGATGTTCCTGACATAAGATTTATTGACAGACACTGAGCTATAAAGCAAGATATTTGAAAGTGAAAAAAATATATATCACAGATGTTTTTGACTAAAAAAAGTTACAAATTTGGGAACAGGGATGTTTGAATAACCAGACTACACTAGTAAATACCAGTATACAAGTGTCAACATAAAGCATTGCAACACATAAACATTGTGTAAAAAAATGGGAGTTAATTCTGTCAAAATTTTTGCATTTTTTCAACTTGTTTTAATCATTTCTACTTTAAACGGAAACAATCATATCCAAAAATTATTTTTATAATTTCTTCTAACATCATTATTCCTCAAAACATTCACAGATTATCTTTAAAATAACAGTAATTATTATTTTTATTTATTTATTCATTTTGACAGACATTTCAATTTCTTATATGGAATCTGCCGTATGCTTTCCACACTCTCAAGCACAATCTTCAAATTTGAAATTATGCAACTGTGATATTCCTGGTATTGATTTAATGCTGTTTTGAATAGGATCCAGGTCAATTACAGGAGTAACCACTTTAACTCTACAGTTGAAGTTCTTTTTCAAATCAATAGCCTGAAATCAAACAAATACATATATCAACCATATTGATTTAAATTACTAAAATATAGTGCCCTTTTTCGAAAAATAGGATAATCCATATATTTTAGACTCTCAAAGATTTTATGACTTATACCAAAGTAACTACAATAAGTGGATTTCTTCAAAAAGTCAAATTTAAACTTGCCCAACCAAGATATCAAAATTGGAGATATAAATTGGTGAAAGCACTTTCAAGTCTAAATAACATTCAAACCTGATTTAGGACGGGCAAATGCAACAAATTCAGATTATAATTTGAAATGTTAAATATCAATTTATTAATGATTGTGTTGAAACCTATTCCAAAAATTAAAAAGAAACCTCAAATTTCTTATTTCTACATTACCAAGAACCATCACTCAGGAATAACAAACATTAAAAATACTTCAAATTAAAAATCTGCTTGTGCCAAAAGGTCTGTAACAAAATTTACAAGTATCAAATAATTTCTCAATGGCTTTATAATGCTCAAATTATTGAATGTGAATCAATTTGCTGATGTACAAATTTAGGTAATGAAAAAGTTAAAACTGAATGACACCTATGCCTTTTCTGTGAGGATAGATTAAATTTAACAATAATCATTTTAAGAAATTTTGGAAGAATTTTATTAGAATTGTTAAACTTCTATCAATGTTGCAATATAATATTTGACCACAACTCTGTAATACAAACCTTTTTCATCTGTTCTGCTGTTACTACATCATTTCCTTCATTCACATATCTCTTAATGATTGATTTTAAATGTGATGCTCTACGATCACAAGGTCCTGCAGAAACAAAAGTAAAAACATAATGAGCAATTTCAGGACTGACATTGATTAGTTAAAGTAAAACATTCGTATTGGTGAATATTGTCATTATTTTGATGCATGTATTAGCTTACTTTATGGTATGGACTTTTGCTCATTCTTGATGGCCATACAGAGATCTTAATTAGAAAGTTGTCTCATTGACAATTGTACTAGATCTCCCCATTTTTATACATACAAAACATTGTCTAATCATCATGTTGGCAGCTGTCTGTTCTTTTTTATCAAGATTGTTTGTAATACTTTTGCAGTCATGGTGATTAATTCCGGCCAATTTCCATTACATCAAGGATTATTGAGTCTGTCATAACAATTTCACTCATTTTCAATTTTCACAGCTTAATAATGCTAAAAGCAAAAAGAATAATACCTTTTCCATCTTGTGCTTCACAAAAGTTGTAGGTTTTAATTGTCCCTTTCAAGGTTTGGTGTAAGGCAGCTATGGTAGTGGTACTTTTGTAGCAGCCTGCATTATCAGAAAACAAATGTACATTTGAAAGACCATGGTTCATTTGAATTAAATCTTGGACAACATCAGAAATGATGGAAGATGTCACCGATGAATCCTGAGCAACAGTTGAAGAGAACAAATGTACATGAGTGATAGACTGGTACGTGTCAGATGATCCTTTCATCAGTGAAACACTAATATGCCAGTTTATGCCTCGTTTTGCCAACCAATCTGTTTGCCTTCTCTGAATTTGCGGGGCAAGAACTTCATGGCCCAGTCTGTCGTTATCATAACATCTTTTTTTTCTTTGATGATTTCAAGAGTATTCCTCCTTGCCTCTTTCTGATTTCTTGAGTGTAATATATGTCCTTTCCATTCTTTAATATCATCAACTGCTTTTTCTACCTGTGTCAATGAAAATAAAGATGATTATATTTCACAAATAAAGCTGTAACTAGATGTAACTGATACTCTCACTATCTGAATAAACAGCTGCGCCATGAGCGCATGATACGCCCGTCGCTTTTGTATTGTACTTATATGTAATATAAGTACTGTTTATACAAACAGCCATTCCAGCTTACACTTAATAATTAATGTGATAATAAAGATGCTGACTTTCTGGATACATTTAATTAACATACACAGACCACTTGTTATATCTTGTGGTTAATTCCCCCGGCATTTGACACTTTGAAGTTACAACTGGAATCTCACTAGGAGGCACACTAATCCTTTCTTAATCAGATACATGTCATAAATAATCTCTGTTGGTGAGGAAATGCAGATTATGATACCAGATCTTATAAAAAATTAATTACACAACAAAAGTTTCATAACTGCTCAAAGCATTGACGGAAACTGAAAAATCCCCCCTTTTTAGCTCACCTGGCCCGAAGGGCCAAGTGAGCTTTTCTCATCACTTGGCGTCCGTCGTCCGTCGTTCGGCGTCGTCCGGCGTCGTCCGTCGTCGGCATTAACTTTTTACATTTTGAACTTCTTCTAGAAAACCACTGAATGGAATGAAACCAAACATGGCATGAATGTTCCTTATGAGGTGCTGACCAAGTGTTGTTACTTTGTAGCCGATCCATCATCCAAGATGGCCGCCAGCGGGGGACTTAGTTTAACATAGGACCCTATGGGAAATGCATACAAATGACTTCTTTTAGAGAACCACTAAATGAAATAAAACCAAACATGGCATGAATGTTCCTTATGAGGTGCTGACCATGTGTTGTTACTTTGGAGCCGATCCATCATCCAAGATGGCCGCCATCAGGGAACTTAGTTTAACATAGGACCCTATGGGAAATACATACAAATGTCTTCTTTTAGAGTACCACTGAATGGAATGAAACCAAACATGGCATGAATGTTTTATTATGAGGTGCTGACCAAGTGTTGTTACTTTGTAGCTGATCCATCATCCAAGATGGCCGCCAGCGGGGGACTTAGTTTAACATAGGACCCTATGGGAAATACATAAAAATGTCTTCTTTTAGAGAACCACTGAATGGAATGGAACCAAACATGACATGAATGTTCCTTATGAGATGCTGACCAAGTGTTGTTACTTTGCAGTCGGTCCATCATCCAAGATGGCCGCCAGCGGGGGACTTAGTTTAACATAGGACCCTATGGGAAATACATACAAATGTCTTCTTTTAGAGAACCACTGAATGGAATGAAACCAAACATGGCATGAATGTTCCTTATGAGGTGCTGACCAAGTGTTGTTACTTTGTAGCCAATCCATCATCCAAGATGGCCGCCAGCGGGGGACTTAGTTTAACATAGGACCCTATGGGAAATACATACAAATGTCTTCCTTTAGAGAACCACTGAATGGAATGAGACCAAACATGGCATGAATGTTCCTTATGAGGTGCTGACCAAGTGTTGTTACTTTGCAGTCGGTCCATCATCCAAGATGGCCGACAGCAGGGGACTTAGTTTAACAAAGGACCTATGGGAAATACATACAAATGTCTTCTTTTAGAGAACCACTGAATGGAATGAAACCAAACATGGCACGAATCTTCCTTATGAGATGCTGACCAAGTGTTGTTACTTTGTAGCCGATCCATCATCCAAGATGGCCGCCAGCGGGGGACTTAGTTTTACATAGGACCCTTTGGGAAATACATAAAAATGTCTTCTTTTAGAGAACCAATAAATGGAATGGAACCAAACATGACATGAATGTTCCTTATGAGATGCTGACCAAGTGTTGTTACTTTGCAGTCGGTCCATCATCCAAGATGGCCGCCAGCGGGGGACTTAGTTTAACATAGGACCCTATGGGAAATACATACAAATGTCTTCTTTTAGAGAACCACTGAATGGAATGAAACCAAACATGGCATGAATGTTCCTTATGAGGTGCTGACCAAGTGTTGTTACTTTGTAGCCAATCCATCATCCAAGATGGCCGCCAGCGGGGGACTTAGTTTAACATAGGACCCTATGGGAAATACATACAAATGTCTTCTTTTAGAGAACCACTGAATGGAATGAGACCAAACATGGCATGAATGTTCCTTATGAGGTGCTGACCAAGTGTTGTTACTTTGCAGTCGGTCCATCATCCAAGATGGCCGACAGCAGGGGACTTAGTTTAACAAAGGACCTATGGGAAATACATACAAATGTCTTCTTTTAGAGAACCACTGAATGGAATGAAACCAAACATGGCACGAATCTTCCTTATGAGATGCTGACCAAGTGTTGTTATTTTGCAGCGGATCCATCATCCAAGATGGCCGACAGCGGGGGACTTAGTTTAACATAGGACCCTATGGGAAATACATACAATTGTCTTCTTTTAGAGAACCACTGAATGGAATTGAACCAAACATGGCATGAATGTTCCTTATGAGTTGCTGATCAAGTGTTGTTACTTTGCAGTCGATCCATCATCCAAGATGGCCGCTAGGGGGGGAGGGGACTTAGTTTAACATAGGACCCTATGGGAAATACATACAAATGTCTTCTTTTAGAGTACCACTGAATGGAATGAAACCAAACATGGCATGAATGTTCCTTATGAAGTGCTGACCAAGTGTTGCTACTTTGTTGCCGATTTACTGTTCAAGATGGCCACCAGGATATTTTATTAAATAACGGGACCAATATTAATCAGAATTTGGCCTCAATCATTATTTGGGTATCTGTTATGATTTTTATCTATCTTTACATGATTTCTAAAACCAAAGTAGAGTCAGGTGAGCGACACAGGCTCTTGAGAGTCTCTAGTTTATGAATACAATCACATAACTCCAAATCTTAAAATCTAAACTTTATAAAAATCAAAAGGGAGCTTACGTCAGTAGATATAAACAATTCACCAAAGTTTCATGAAAACTGCTGAAAGCATTTTTGAGTTATTGTCCAAAAACTGGAAACCCCCCTTTTTTTAATGAATAAAACCCCATAACTCAGAAACGTAAAATCTAAAATTTATAAAAATCGAAAAGGAGCTCATGGCAATATATATAAACAATTCACCAAAGTTTCTTGCAAATTGGTGAAGGTGTTTTTTGAGTTATTGTTCGAAAACTGGAAAATCCCCCTTTTAATAAAAAAAAACCAAAACTCGGAAACTTAAAATCTTAAATTTATAAAAAACGAAAGGGAGCTCACGTCAATAGATATAGACAATTCACCAAAATTTCTTGCGAATTGGTTGAAGCGTTTTTGAGTTATTGTCCGACATGTTGACAGACGGACGGACAGAGGTAATCCATAATAAGTTCCGTAAACGCGAGTATAAAAATGTAAGAATAGTTATAAATTTTGATCTTACACTTTGTGTCAGGAATATCAAAGAAAAGGTTTATTGAAAACAAAACTATAACTTGAGAGGACACTGTACTCGACTTCAGTCTAGGTTTTACTTAGTTTGGTTTATTGCTGTCAAATTTTAGGATTTAATTAATAGGTAAAAAAGGCTACAATTTTAAGTTTGAACTAAATTCATATACTAGAAGTAGCCCTTAAAAAATAATATAACCTTTTCAAATCAACTTTGATTCTGATAAAACTCTACAGGTATCACAATTAAACATTGATCCTACAAAATGGCACATTATTTGATAGTTTGGTTTCTTGCTGTCAAAGTTGAGCATTTAATTAATATGTGAAAAAAGGCTAAAGTTGTCAGTTCTGACTATAAAATTCAGATGGTCACCTTTAACAATGTCGATTCATTTTTCAAATCAACTTAGATTTGCATAATATTCTACAGCTATCTTAATTATATATTGATATTGATCATGTATCTGATTTTAGTCTGAACTGAAAGGTCTAGAATTTTTTTTTACCTTAAACATAACTGAATCTGTGTGATCCCATTCTTTGTTGTTGACTTTAACTAGAACATCATCCATAAGAGATTCTAATGAAATACATTGAGTACAACAAAGTGTATGTTCATGTTTACAGTCATTCCTGAAATTACTGTCTGTATCACTCAGTGCATATGATCTGCAATGGTCTGCAATTTGAGCCATGTCTCTTACATGTACCTGAAGAAAATCAAAGTTATGAAGATCACTCATGAACAGATTAGATATAAAAGGAGTAATATTGAGAATGGAAATGGGAAATATGTCAAAGAGACAACAACCCAACCAAAGAGCAGAAACAATCAATATTTGAACTTTGATGTCAAAGTCTAATTTCAATTCTAATGCAACATCATTTGTAATGTTCATTTTAAAGTGGATAATGCCACTCATATTCATGGCATCAATCAAGCGCAAACGACGTATGGCAGATTTTAAATGTATTCTTTAACATTGTTTTGTATCCGTTTCATTGGAATGGAGATAACAATATTGTATTTTAAGCTCAAACGGCATCAATTGGTGATTTGATGGTCGCAAATACTGGTTTACTGGCTACAATAAGGAGTTGCCAGTAAACTAAATTTACCACCATCAAATTAAGGAATAACAGTACTGTAGTTGAAGAGCTGCCACCGTCAATTGCTGATTTGACGGTCACAAATGCAGTTTTACTGGCGAGGCGTAGCGGAGACAGTAAAACAGAAATTTGCAACCGTCAAATCCAAATTGACAGTGGAAACTCTTCAACTACAGTACTGTTATTCCTACTCTAATGCATTACAAAAAGAAATAATACGTTAGAGCTAGAAAAAATGTATAAATTTAAATCAAATAAAATTCTGCGAAACTTCATACATGATTTTGGGGCAAAGACATTATGGCTAAACGTGACGTCATACAAATGAAAACTTACAAACTGAAGGTTATTACGTTACCTCTACGATTCAAATTTGGATAAAATCACATCAAACAGGCGATTTTGAAGTAGGTGCTTTTTAATTTCCGATAATATTGTAGTAATCGAATATTTCTTGATCAAACCAATTCAAAATGGCAGGTCCCTCCTTAGTTACAACTGGTCAACTGTGGATTTCACCAGCCCAGTAGTCAGCACTTCTGTGTTGACTTGCGTTATCATTGATATGTTCATAATTATAAATTAACTGTTTACAAAAATTTGAATTTTTGAAATACTAAGGCTTTTCTACCTCAGGAATAGATTACCTTAGCTGTATTTGGCAAAACTTTTAGGAATTTTTGGTCCTCAATGCTCTTCAACTTTGTACTTTATTTGGCCTTTTTAACATTTTTTGATTGGAGCGTCACTGATGAGTCTTTTGTAGATGAAACGTGGGTCTGGCGCATTTATAAAATTTCAATCCTGGTATCTATGATGAGTTTATTTGACGGTAACTTTTAGCCAATGAAAAAATTGTTACATAAAAATTGCATTAGAATCACCAATTGACGACGTCTGAGCTTAAAATACAATACAGTTATCTCCTTAAGGTCAACTTGAACGTGAAACATTAATGACACATATATCAAAAGTCTATGTCAATTGTGGGGCATAAAAAAAGTTGCAGAAACAAAAATGTTCAAAATTTCCTCAAGTCCATTATTTTTACCTGGGCTCAAAGATTAAGGTCATATGAAAATTTTGTCAAAGGTGAAATGTATTATATAAGTATAAAATACCTTATAATCTGACTTTAAGTATCTTTTAACTTCAAGAAAATCAGCCTTCATCTTTTTGATATCCTCATCTTCACAATCAAATCCTTCCAAAATTTCTTCCATATCTCTAAAAGCTCTTCCACCTTCAGCCACATAATAGTCCAACCCTTCCACACTATGTCTAACAGAAGCGGCACACTCTTTGAGAATCTTATACATTGTACTTGTGCCTGAAATAAACAATTCTATATTATTATTCAGAATTTTGAACATGTTATTTAAGCAGTCATTAAAAAATGTATGCTTATCATGTTAATGAATTAAGAATAAGAACCCTGCTTTGTAGTATCCCACATGCGGAGCCGGATTTTTAACGTGCTAGTTCACAAGGTAACAGTCCGCAGTAAACCTTGTCACCTTACCCAGACACATTATTCTGACTATGAGCTGACCAGCCTTTGTTCTTACTCCTTAATGCCACATGTTTAGCAGAGAAGCAGCAAATACCAATTCTAAAATGTTTGGTTTGACCCTGCAGGGGTTCTAACCAACTTGGCAATAATAAATAATTTCTCATAATTTCAAAGCAAAGAGGATATGGTTCTGGTAAAATAAAGAATGTATCATGGTTAAGAACTTGAAAATTCCTGCTGTAGATGAGTTACATGGGTGCATAATATATTGAATCAGAGGAAGTATGTCACTGGTTACTGTGTAGTGAATCTTTAAAAAAATGTAACCACCTTGAGGAGTTGTTTATTGATTGTTAGTGTTACAGTTGATAGAAATGTACACATAACATGTATATCAGTACAAGAGGTTTGTTTTCATTGTTGAAAGCCATACAGTTACACAAATATACCAGTCCTATAGTTGCTTGTAAACTTTAACATCACTTATTCTGTATTCAAGAGTTGTCTTATTGGCAATCAGACCACATCTTCTTATTTTCATAAAAAGAATTTTGTCATATGAATTACAAGCAATTGTAATAAGCTGCTTCGTTGAGCGCAGCTGGATACGCCCACAGAGGTCCAACCCTGAACAGTTGGGGCAAAAATGGACACAATATTCAAGCTTGATACAAGTCTGAATTTGGATTGTAATTAAATATTTGATATATTATAGGTTTCTGAATAAATGTAGTCAAAGAACTTGAAATTAGTTATATGAAGGATTTCTTGCTGTTGTGCAATACACTGTGCTGTAGCGTAATACTTAGTGAATCTGTTGTCAGACTATAAACAAATAAAATCTTATAACATGGAAAAATAAAATCTTATAACTTGGAAAAATAAAATCTTATAACTCGGAAACATAAAAATCAAAATGGAGCTTACAAAAGTAGATATAAACAATTTACCAAAGTTTCATAAAAAATGCTGAAAGCATTTTTGAGTTATTGTCCGAAAACTGGAAAATTCCCCTTTTTGTAATGAATAAAACCCCATAAACCGAAAACGTATAGTTTGAAATTTATAAAAATCAAAAGGGACCTCATGTCGATAGAAATAAACAATTCAACAAAGTTTCTTGCAAATTGGTGAAATTGTTTTTGAGTTATTGTTTGAAAACTGGAAAATCCCCCCTTTTTTAATGCATAAAACCCCAAAACTCGGAAACGGTAAATCAGCAATTTATAAAAAACGAAAGGGAGCTCACGTCAAAAGATATGAACAATTCACAAAAGTTTCTTGCAAATTGGTGAAATTTTTTTTGAGTTATTGTTCGAAAACTGGAAAATCCCCCCTTTTTAGCTCACCTGGCCCGAAGGGCCAAGTGAGCTTTTCTCATCACTTGGCGTCCGGCGTCCGTCGTCGTTGTCCGTCGTCGTTAGCTTTTTACAAAAATCTTCTCCTCTGAAACCACTGGGCCAAATTTAACCAAACTTGGCCACAATCATCATTAGGGTATCTAGTTTAAAAAATGTGTCCGAAGACGCCGCCAACCAACCAAGATGGCTGCCATGGCTAAAAAAAGAACATAGGGGTAAAATGTAGATTTTGGCTTATATCTCTGAAACCAAAGCATTTAGAGCAAATCTGACAGGCGGCAAAAATGTTCATCAGATTTAGATTTATCTGCCCTGAAATTTTCAGACGAATCCGACCCGTTGTTGGGTTGCTGCCCCTGAGTTAGTAATTTTTCAAAAATTTTGCAGTTTTTTGTTATTATCTTAGATATCATTATAATATCTTATATCTAATACTATTAATTATGGTTTTAACCTTATTTTACATGATTTCCAAAGCATCAGTAAATACAGGTGAGAGACACAGGCTCTTGAGAGCCTCTAGTTTAATGAATAAAACCCAAAAACTCAGAAACGGTAAATCTGAAATTTATAAAAAAAACAAAAGGGAGCACACGTCAATAGATATAAACAATTCACCAAAGTTTCATGCATATTGGTTAAAGCGTTTTTAAATTAATGTCCGACATGTTGACGACGGACGGACGGTCAACGGTATACCATAATATGTCCCGTAAACGGGCGTATAAAAACTAGGAATAATACAAGATTAATGTGGTTTCTATTTCATTGTTGAAGAACATAAAAAAACAAATTATATTAATGAAACATTGTGATTTTGGTAGTGCTTTATATTAAAAATGGCATGAAAGCAATCAATCAATCAAAACGAATATTTCCTAAAATTTTGATATAATTATTAGTAATTGGCATTTATTGGCATTGATCCTGAAAAACGGGGCTACGTCAGAGGGTGAACAGACACTCGCCGTGAAAACAATCTGATATGAAGACAAGCTTTTGTTTTTAAAATTCCAACATGAGGCATTTGCCTCAATGTAGTTACGTCCCTGTAATAAAAGTGGGGTAAATGTTCTTGAGACAATATAACTCAAGTTAAATGAAACCCATTTTCAGACATTTCAAGTACATTAATATTCATGATATTTATACATTGTATAATTAAAAGATTTGGGAAGTTTCCCCGAAAAAATTTGAAAAAACAATGTATTTTGGAAGAATCTGGTGCCATCTCATACTTTAGAATAGCATTTATAAAATGGCTTAAAAGACCTGGCAAGTTATTTATTTTCAATACATTATAAGTCAGTCAGGTTATTTATTTTCAAACTACCACAGACCAAACCATTCATTTTTGTTATTATCAAGGCTGAGTTATTTATTTTCAAAATTCTCCTGCCCCCCCCCCCCCCCCCCCCCCCCCCCCCCCCCACCAAATTTAGTCTTTTTGGTGTATTTTTATTCAAAAACTATGAAGATGTAACAATCTTTCATTTTGAATTTATTGAAGTATCAGACAAAGTCTATTGATAGAACATAAGATGAAAATATTCAAAGAAACACAATATATTCAAAATTAGTCCACAAAAATGCCATTTTCTGCCTTTTTGCATGGCAAAAACGGAAGGAAACTGTTGTAGTCAATTACCATGGCAACTGTCATTTTTTTCGATTAATTAGTTATGTTTTTTTTTATTTGGCGTAAATATCATCATATATGTGCAATATAAAGAAAATTGAAGAATATGCGTGGCCACATGATTTTGATGGTTACAGGGAACTGGTATTTAAAAAAAACAGACTGTTTTGTGATTTGCATGTGAACTTTAGTCAGGAAGCTATCTATAGTTTTCAAAACAGCATCTCAGAATGGAATATACAGTGGTTGCCTCCTATTTAGCATGTTGTAATGTTATAATCTATTGAAAGAGAGAGGGATGGGAGAAATGATTTCTCTAACAAAAATTATGCCCAATATTGAACAGAAGTTTCATTAAGAATCCATGTCAGTTTTTCTACATCTTATATAAAAAAATAGGTAAAACCATGCATCTGATATAACAATTTATCTAATCTTATAATTGTACCAAACAGGCATTTAGGTTCACTATTGCATTTCTTTTTTTAAAGAAAGCAACTTGTCTTAATATTCCAGACACCCAAGGGTGAACTTGAAACACTGAACACTTTAAATTTGCAAAACACTCATTTGCAAATCTGGCGCCGCACTTTCTTGGACCTGCAGTGTCATGTACATAACCAAAATGTGCGGAACGACATGGGATTTACTAAATACCAAGTTTGAAAGCTCTAGACTATAAAGTTTTTTTGCAATATGAATTTAAATAAAACTGGGATTTTATAATCCCATGGGTTTAAGCATAATCCCATTGGAATCTGCATTATCCGATGGGATTTTGAATAAAACCCATGTGATATTTTTCAGTCCCATGGGACAAAATAAAATCCCATGGGATTCAAATTATCATAGTAAATATACAGTAACATGTATGTTTAAAATGAATTCTGTTTGGTAGTAAACTAAAATATAAAATAGTTGATGAAATATCAGAAATGCAAGCCACTAAACTACAGTATAAAGTGTTGAAGGAGTCTATTGGAAGTCAATTTACTAAACTTAACTATTACTTATTTCTGATTTTTAAAACATTGCATATTAATATCTCCTTCCAAATATTTCTGTCAATAGCTACATTTGATCTTTTTTCAATTTACCAAGATGGCAAAACTATATGCTAAAACTTGAGTCAAGTTCATGTCTTAAAAATAAGTTTTAAAGGATTATTGATAGTTTTTGATAAATAACAAAGTAAAATGACTTTTTGACAGTTAGTTGCAATTTAATTTCAAAATTAAATGTTATGTATCAACAGATTTGTGAAAAGTCCGTTTAAAAATCCGTTAAATTTAAATAGTTTTTCAAACTAACAAGGTTGTAACTTTCTAAAATTTAGGTGTTAGAGCCATTTCATATGCCCTAGAGTGTTCCATCCTTACAGCTCTTCTATAAAAGCATGCAATGTAAATCTTTGATCAACTTGCTTGCTATGTTTGTTTGTTGGTAATATGTTGTCTTTCCTGTTATGCAGCATTGTTTGTTGGTAATATGTTGTCTTTCCTGTGATGCAGCATTGTTTATTGGTAATATGTTGTCTTTCCTGTGATGCAGCATTGTTTGTTGGTAATATGTAGTCCATCTTTTCATTGATTCTTCTCGTTGGGCTATTCAGCAAAGAACATTATTATAATTGTCGTTTTCATTATTTTTTCGTTTTTTTTTGGTATTTACAACATCAATTCAAAACAAGAACTGATCTGACTTTTGTCTTTGAATTCATTCTGCTCTTGTTTCTGTGTTTTCTTCCTTTCTTCCAAGTGATGCACTTCAAACTTTCTCAAAAAGAACCAAATAAAATTTTAATTTTGGATAATGAAAACAATTTTGCATGTAGCAACGACATATCATTTTCAATAACATACCATGCTAACCTACTAGTTATAATATATAAATGCTTATGCTTTTCATTCTAAATGGAAGAAATTTAACATAATGATTTTTTGACTTGAAAACGATAACTTGTTTTGATGGTATAATGGATAAGAAAAATCCTTCCATTAGTGTCACAACTATATATGAGGGTGATTACTTGGCACATTTTTATCACTTTATAGAAACCATTCATGGAGCATGTTTGTCTTTTGTTGCTATTTATCATGTTTTTTTTCTCTCTTATTGTTTTTACATTAATCAGGCCATTAGTTTTCTTGTTTGAAATGTTTTACAATTGTCATTTCTGAACCTTTTATAGCTTACTGTGCAGTTTGAGTTTTGTTCATTGTTGAAGGAAAAAAACAAACAGACAAACAATAGTACACAAAACACAACATAGAAAACTAAAGACTAAGCAACACGAACCCCACCAAAAACTAGGGGTGATCTCAGGTGCTCCGGAAGGATAAGAATGCTACACATGTGGCACCCGTCGTGTTGCCCTTGTTAGTATAAACCCGGTAAATAGTCTAATTCGGTAGGTCACATTCGTGAAAAGGGAACAGGATTGTAATAACGACATTAGGAACATATCTGCTATCATCTGTGAAACTGTTATTCCATATCGGTCAACCAACTCGTGATGGTGTCCGTAAAATTTACAAAGGGATGATTTCAACTTCACCATTTGGAACTCTTGGTTTAATAGCTTCCTTGTGAGCTGCAACCCTCTATCAAGGAAATCATGATAGGAAATACAAGCCCGGGAATTTCGTATCAATTTGGAGATATATACTCTGTATGCAGGCGCTGCGGGAATGTTGTTACATAGAAATGGAAAGTTCACAATTGGGAAGCTGAAATCATCTCTTTTGTCGTAAAGTTTTGTTTTCAACCGACCCTCATTGTCAATTTCTAGATGTAAGTCAAGATATGAGACAGATTTAACTC